GAATCATAATCATGCACTGTTCGTTTATAGGCCAGAGAAGAACTGGCCCCCCGACTGAGCCTGGTTTCTCCCAAGGTTTTTTCTCTCCATTCTGTCACCTGATGGAGTTTTGGTTCTTTGCCACTGTCGCCTTTGGCTTTTGGCTTGCTTAGTTGGGGACACTTAACACCCTGGGGTCGGCGGTCGCGCCGGCGCGACCAGCTTGCTTTTTTTCTTATCAGTGCAAAAGAGACTGCATAACTCCGTCGATGTTTGTCATATAGGCAAGTGTTATACATCATTCAAAACTGTTAAATGTCTTCTTTTATTTGTGTTCACTAATAATAAAAACGAAACGTGTTTTTCATAAAATAAAGAAAATAAACATGATGCGCGTTCTGCCATCTCTTTCAATGTGAAGTTCATTCTGAAATGCGACAGAAAATAATCTGTAACTCAGCGAATGCTGGCCACACTGACATGAGACATGTCTTTACAAAGCTTGAAGTCTCTATTTATAAATGATGTAAATCATATCAAAAACAAGTATTCTCTGTTTAAGTAATCCGTATGAAAGCAACGAGATGTACAGTTTCTCATTATCTCTAATGTGACCACACCCACGCGCGCACGAGCAATTGACACGCAAATCGGCCACGTGAATGAACGCAGACCTGTAAACACCCTCATTACCTCAACAACAAAGAATCAGAGACTTCAGTACTCATCTGCTTTTCATCGAGTTTGGAAGACTGTGTTTGTGCTGTGCAGTTTACCTTGGATTTACCTCAGAAGAATTAGAAGAACGCGATTTGAAGATGAAAAAGATGTTTAAGGTAAGAAATTTCCACTCATAATAGTAAGCATGTTATTGTTGCATAAACTTCACATTGTAGCTAGTTAAACTGGTGCTAGACCAAAATGTATGTATATATATTTTTTTTTTATGGCACAAAGGTGTGTGACTGTTCAAGTCTCTGTCTTTAGATCAGTGTGTTCAATAATGTGCCTTTTTGTCCTTTGTTGTGTATCTTTGAATTAAGGTGTGTTGTAAATAAATTCAAACAATCAAAAAGCCATTCTTTTTAAAATCTCTACTCATTCTTTGTTCTGTTCCCACCTGATAGGGCCATTATGAGAGGGTCTTTGTCTTTCTTAGGTGTGAAACACATCAATATTCATGAAGATTATTCCTCGCCCACACCTCCTCGCATAAAGCTTTCTTACACAAAACATGTCTTACAAATTTTAAATCAATATATTGTTTTATCTGAATGAGTATGCAGGATGATGTTCACATAGTTTTGAAGCAAATATTCTAGGCTACGTGATACAATTTTCAAAAGTCTTGTGAAGAAATAATCAGTATGGGTTTCATGACCTTATTTCAGTGACAATATTTTTAAATCTTTTCACAAACTACACATAATCATCATTATCTCAAAACTACAAACTTTTACATACATGCTGCTGACATATTATTGTAGCAGCGTTTGTGCTGGATACAGTGTAATCAGACTTTAGCCATGAAAATGTCACAAGTAACAGAAATAAGCACAAATGTCAGAGCATGTCAGAACACCTCAAGGGCCCAGAAAACACCTCAGACACCTCAGGGTTAAAGGTGCTGTATGTAATTTTTTTACTCTACTAAAGCATAAAAATACCATAATATGTTTGCAGATATTTAGGAAACATTCCAAGTTCACATACTCGTTTCTCTGAAAAACAGTTCTATAGCCAGTTATTAGGGCCCAAGCCCTGAAAGGGCGCAGAGCCCTATTGTTCTTCTAAGTATTATTAGGGCCCAAGGCCCTTGAAAAGACGAAGGCCCTATTGTTTTCCTTAGGATTATTTTTTTTCTATTATTAGGGCCCAAGCCCTGAAAGGGCGCAGAGCCCTACTGTTCTTCTAAGGATTATTTGTTATTAGGGCTCAAGCCCTGAAAGGGCGAAGGCCCTATTGTTTTCCTAGGGATTATTTATTATTAGGGCCCAAGCCCTGAAAGGGCGAAGGCCCTATTGTTTTCCTTAGGATTATTATTATTATTAGGGCCCAAGCCCTAAAAGGGCGCAGAGCCCTATTTTTCTTCTAAGGATTATTAGGGCCCAAGCCTTGAAAAGGCGAAGGCCCTATTGTTTTCCTTAGGATTATTAGGGCCCAAGCCTTGAAAAGGCGACGGCCCTATTGGTTTCCTTAAAAATAGTATATATGTTTATACATGTGTGTATATATGTATATTAGTGCTGTCAAAGGAATAAAATATTTAATCGTGATTAAGCGCATTAATGTCATAGTTAACTCATGATTAATCGCAATTAATCGCACATTTTTATCTATTCTAAATGTCTCTTGATTTCTTTTTGTCCCATTATTTTTTCTAATTTTAATGCTCTTATCAACATGAAAAAGTGGATCGGCTTGCTTTGTGCAAATGTTTTTTATTGAAAACAACATTGGCATATACTGTGTTCAATTTCACACTAACATTCTCACTTGGAGCAAATAATCTCTCACAGAATGTAACACTGTCCATCAATAAAAGGGTGAAAGAAATACTGACGAGGTCCTGATATTGACGAGGGGGCGGAGAATTCGCATCAGCTGTGTGTGTGTGTGTGTGTGTGTGTGTGCTTGGCCATCAAGTGGTATTTCAGACTGGACGTGCTGCGATGATGATAGCTCAGTTCACAACGACAAAACACACAGATCTTTGGTCTTGTCAATGTAACCATTTGGCAACTTTTTAAAGTAAACTTTCAATTCAGAATCTTATTGGCATCCATTTCGGCGCATCGCACTCGTCATCCACTCAAAACGTAACTACTATTTGGCCGGCTCGCAACAAGTGTGTTTCCGGTCTAGCTAGATCCGGTGCTTTCAGACAGGACGCGGAATGTGCGGCGCAGTGTTAATTTTGTCATTAAATTTTGATTTAGTTTTAGTCTTAGTCTTTTGACTAAAATGCCATTTAGTTTTAGTCATATTTTAGTCATCTGAATTGTTTTAGTTTTAGTCTAGTTTTAGTCGACGAAATACAATAACATTTTAGTCGACTAAATCTACAGTAGATTTAGTCGACTAAAATATAATGGGTTTAGTTCAATTGTAAATGCGTTAATTTAGAATTTCTCTAAAATGGCCAAACCCATATACTCCCGGAGAAAACATCTATTAACCTATTAATATGAATGATTTTTAAGTTTGAACATGCAATACAGATACAGATTTAACTGCTGTTACTTAAAAAATATCTTAAAATGAAATAAAACCACTTTTCCTAAAGTACAACACAGTCTTCTTTACAATGAATGATATATTCATTCCTTATAACTACTTACACATCATTCTTTATTCTTTCAAGCAGACATATTTATTTGTATGAATTAAATATAATTAATCCTTATTAAAGCTATTAACAAACAGTGAATGCTTTTCTCTTTTTCTTTTGTTGCTTGATCAAAATTAAGGACACGGACCGCATTCGGTTTATTGCCACTGTCACTTTAAGACGTCGGATCATGTCCAATGACATGCGGATACAATTGCACTGATGCACATCCGACACACTCACAGTTTAAGACATAACCAGCATAGTTTACATGAATACTCTCCAAAAAGGACATTTAGACATACTGTTGTGTATTTCTCCATTCAGACACGAAAGAGAGCTCAATTCAGTAGCCTACTCGCGCGCTGTAGGTGTTTTGTGCATGACTGCACGCTTCGGGTTAGGTGTGTGCGCACAGAAAACCGCACCAAATAGAGCTCTTTTTTGCATCGTCACTCTTATTCAGAGATCTATATGTCTGCTCTACTCATTCTCCCAGACGTTCACATTTTTTAACGTTTTATGACCGCGGGGTAGATCACGTTACAGTAGCCTACAAATGTGCGCATCTACCACACACGCAGGACATCAGTTCTGACGGATCGCTTCCCAAATCGTCACTATCTAACATTTTCGTCTAGTTTTTATTCGTTGACGAAAATGTCAATAGATTTTCGTCATAGTCTTTGTCATTCAAAACTAGGTTTTATTTAGTTATCGTCTCGTTTTCGTCTGTGAAAAAATGTCGTTGACGAATAATTTTCGTCGTTATTTTCGTCAACGAAATTAACACTGGTGCGGCGCTACGTCAGTTTTCAAAACTTTTTGGATGACAAAACGTTTCTATTGGCCGCCCTGGTAATCGTCACAGCGGCAAAAGTTGAACTATTTTGAACTTTGACCGCGGTGTGCGCACCGCTGCGCTTGCGCTTTGGTCGACAAAGCAACGAAACCCATGCCGCGTCCTGTTGCAAAAGCATGTGAAAAAACTACAAAGTTTGTTAGGCCAAAAAGACCGTTAATCGCGCGATAAAAAAATGTATCGCGTTAAAATGGGTTTGCGTTAACGCCGTTAATAACGCGTTTAACTGACAGCCCTAATGTATTTATATATATATATACACTCACCTAAAGGATTATTAGGAACACCTGTTCAATTTCTCATTAATGCAAATATCTAATCAACCAATCACATGGCAGTTGCTTCAATGCATTTAGGGGTGTGGTCCTGGTCAAGACAATCTCCTGAACTCCAAACTGAATTTCAGAATGGGAAAGAAAGGTGATTTAAGCAATTTTGAGCGTGGCATGGTTGTTGGTGCCAGACGGGCCGGTCTGAGTATTTCACAATCTGCTCAGTTACTGGGATTTTCACGCACAACCATTTCTAGGGTTTACAAAGAATGGTGTGAAAAGAGAAAAACATCCAGTATGCGGCAGTCCTGTGGGCGAAAATGCCTTGTTGATGCTAGAGGTCAGAGTAGAAGGGGCCGACTGATTCAAGCTGATAGAAAAGCAACTTTGACTGAAATAAACACTTGTTACAACCAAGGTATGCAGCAAAAAATTTTGTGAAGCCACAACATGCACAACCTTGAGGCGGATGGGCTACAACAGCAGAAGACCCCACCGGGTACCACTCATCTCCACTACAAATAGAAAAAAGAGGCTACAATTTGCAAGAGCTCACCAAAATTGGACAGTTGAAGCCTGGAAAAATGTTGCCTGGTCTGATGAGTCTCGATTTCTGTTGAGACATTCAGATGGTAGAGTCAGAATTTGGCGTAAACAGAATGAGATCATGGATCCATCATGTCTTGTTACCACTGTGCAGGCTGGTGGTGGTGGTGTAATGGTGTGGGGGATGTTTTCTTGGCACACTTTAGGCCCCTTAGTGCCAATTGGGCATCGTTTAAATGCCACGGCCTACCTGAGCATTGTTTCTGACCATGTCCATCCCTTTATGGCCACCATGTACCCATCCTCTGATGGCTACTTCCAGCAGGATAATGCACCATGTCACAAAGCTCGAATCATTTCAAATTGGTTTCTTGAACATGACAATGAGTTCACTGTACTAAAATGGCCCCCACAGTCACCAGATCTCAACCCAATAGAGCATCTTTGGGATGTGGTGGAACGGGAGCTTCGTGCCCTGGATGTGCATCCCACAAATCTCCATCAACTGCAAGATGCTATCCTATCAATATGGGCCAACATTTCTAAAGAATGCTTTCAGCACCTTGTTGAATCAATGCCACGTAGAATTAAGGCAGTTCTGAAGGCGAAAGGGGGTCAAACACAGTATTAGTATGGTGTTCCTAATAATCCTTTAGGTGAGTGTATATTAGGGATGCACCGAATATTCGGCCACCGAAAAATTTCGTCCCAAAATGGCCCAAAAGTGCATTTTCGGTTTTCGGCCGAAAGACTTTTATCACCGAAACAATACGGCCGAAATGTTGTGATGATGCAAACAGAAACCGCGACCTGCACGTGCTTGTCTGAAGCAACATGACTGCGGTGTGTATGTATTTCAGTATATCTGAACCTTTTTACAGTCTATGATCCGAACCCGCGAGGAGACAGAAGTCTTGGTTATACTTTTGCCTGCCTTCGCAGCGCGAGTCTCCACAGACAGCGCGCGCACCTCTCCAAACGGTCGAGGCGTTTATACTTGACATGCTCGCCGCTGTACTATTCTTTGAAACGACAGTGAAACGACAGGGGGCGACTCAAGTAACTGTCCTCTAACCATCAGGAATCGGTGAGAAGAAGAAAGATAAACACGTGACAATGTTTATTTTTTAGTATACCACCACCAATACAAAAATCATCATGTAAAACCCAGTAAACCCTGAGATTATTACTTGTGACATTACAAAAAAATATGTATATGGAACATGTATGTATACAACCAAATTAACGCTCTCTTAAATATTTTCTAATTTCACTAAACATATTTCATTAAGTTTCATGTACATTTGTATTAAACATGGACCTTTGTTCATTAAAAAGGCTTTTTATGCTATTTTATGCTCATTTTTTAAAATGTAAGCAACTAATTTAAACGTGCAAACTGGGTGCTGGTGTGATGAGAAGTTCGTGCTCGGCTTTGTTTTTATGAGAGAACATTTAATTTTAAAACCTTTCTGCAGGCCAGTAGATTATTATTTAATGTACACATGAGTGGGGTCAAGTTAAACATTTTAGTTTGAATTTTATTTTATACTGTGCATTGTTGCAATGTGCTAAATAAATATTTGCATAATTTGTAATTGATTTATTCTTTGAAAATTTTATTTTAATTTATGCAATTGCAATGCCTTGATTTTAGTAAAGTTTGTACACAGTCATAGCCATAAATGCAATGGCACTAATAATTGGCATAATTTCTTTCAGTGTTTCGATTTTCGGCCTTGGTTTCCTCTTTTTCGGTTTTCGGTTTCGGCCAAGAATGTTCATTTCGGTGCATCCCTAATATATATATATTATATACTAATATGGCGCTATAACTTTGACTCACAATAGTCACATCCATGTGATCGGCTTCTTACAACTAACACACTGCTGAAGTTTCATCAAGATCAGTTAATGTATGCAGAAGTTATAACACACTTCCTGTTTCACGTTTCTCGCCATAATTTCGTTTCCTCGCCATGGCCAAACCGTTCGAGATATCAAAAATCTGCTGGCAATTTTTCATCCTCAATGTCTTGACTTCACGCTGACCGAGTTTCGTGGCATTTGGATCAATTCTCTAGGGAGGAGTACTTTAAATTCCATTGCATGCGTTTTCCAAACAACCCTAAATAGCCGTCTTCCTGCTGGGCTGGCGTAAAACTTAGAGCAAAAAATGGAAAACGACACGAAAGTGGAAAAATGTTGCCTGGTCTGATGAGTCTCAATTTCTGTTGAGACATTCAGATGGTAGAGTCAGAATTTGGTGTAAACAGAATGAGAACATGGATCTATCATGCCTTGTTACTACTTGTGCAGGCTGGTGGTGGTGGTGTAATGGTGTGGGGGATGTTTTCTTGGCACACTTTAGGCCCCTTAGTGCCAATTGGGCATCGTTTAAATGCCACGGCCTACCTGAGCATTGTTTCTGACCATGTCCATCCCTTTATGGCCACCATGTACCCATCCTCTGATGGCTACTAAAATGGCCCCCACAGTCACCAGATCTCGACCCAATAGAGCATCTAATGCACCATAATGCACCATGTCACAAAGCTCGAATCATTTCAAATTGGTTTCTTGAACATGACAATGAGTTCACTGTACTAAAATGGCCCCCACAGTCACCAGATCTCAACCCAATAGAGCATCTTTGGGATGTGGTGGAACGGGAGCTTCGTGCCCTGGATGTGCATCCCACAAATCTCCATCAACTGCAAGATGCTATCCTATCAATATGGGCCAACATTTCTAAAGAATGCTTTCAGCACCTTGTTGAATCAATGCCACGTAGAATTAAGGCAGTTCTGAAGGCGAAAGGGGGTCAAACACAGTATTCGTATGGTGTTCCTAATAATCCTTTAGGTGAGTGTGTATATATATTAGTGCTGGGCAACGATTAACATTTTTAATCGTGATTAATCGCATGATTTTCTTGCGATTAATCGAGACTGATCCTCGGCTCGCTGTTTGTGAGTTTCCAATATTTAAATAGTTATCAGGACATCAACAGAAGGGAATTCACATTGCAGAGCATCCCCGCTAAACTACACGCAGGCACATCAGGTAAAGTTATGTATAATTTTAATTTAGGTTAAAAAGACTACAGCTGCACAGAAGCTGTTGCAGCTGTAGCTGAGTTGAGCTGCACAGTTCAACGGCACAGAAGCCGTTGCCATGTTACTATCCATAGAGCGCCTGTCATTCACTCGCGGAGTGCTGTCTCCCTTTCTGTTCACCTGAGAGAACCTGCCAAAGCCTCTCTCCACTGCTGGTTTGGGTGGGTTATTTGCTGGCTGACCAACATCCCACCCCTCCTGTGATCCATGGTTTGACTGTAGGCCTATGTCCTATTCAGAGCCAGTGTGCAACGGACTTTCAAAATAAAAAACTAAAAAAAACTGCGTTAACGTGCGATAAAAAAATTGTCGGCATTAATTAATAAATGCGTTAACGCGATAATAACGCGTTAACTTGCCCAGCCCTAATATATATATATATATAAAAGAATCCGGTGGCACCGCCACCCTGGTGCCTTTAGGGTTATTGTGCACGACGTGCAAAAACGTAACCCTGCTTTGACTGTCGAAAAAGAAGTGTGCTGTAGAGCTTGCATCAATGTGGCCTAGGGTCGGAACGGTACACAGAAGTCACGGTTCGGTCCATACCTCGGTTCAGACATCACGGTTCGGTACGATTTTGGTACAATGGAGGGAAAAGCAAAACAAAAATGCAGAAGGCATTTTTATAAATGTCTTAAGCCTTGTATTTTTTAAATAGGTTTTATTAATAAAGGCATATAACCAGTTTATTTGTAGTCCACTGACAATAGTTTTATACAATTAGTTTATTAATTAAATTAATAAAAAGACCTTGAGATATGTTTGGTAATTGTACCTGAATGAATTTAAAATTAATTTGCTATATTTCAGATCAATATATTTGTTTTCCTTAATTTTAATTAACCCTAACTTTATTATCATCTGAATTCTAAATAATTGATTTCTGTATAAAATAATACTACCATTAAAAACACATTTGATTTTCTTTATTAATCAATGTAGAATGTGTAACTTAAAAATAAACAGATTAGTGCTGGACTCGAGGACAAGAAATGAAAACCAATGCGATATGATGAATGTCCAAAAGATGGCACCCACAGACTGTTTTGATGGATAAATATGTTTTGCTTTTAAAACTCGCTCTGTGTGTGTGTGTGTGTGTGTGTTTGGTTGGGTGACAGTTGTAGGTTACAGTTTGACAAGAGTTTAGAGTGTGACAGAAGCACAATGTTGTGTTTTATTGCGAGTGTACACAAATATAAGTAAACACTTAGCAGTTTGAATGATGTCCTGTATGAACAAAATGACGGAGTATGTTTTTATGTTTCCACTGTTCGATCGCGCCCGCGCCTCTCTCTCTCTCTCACACAGACACACACACACACAGTTCGATCGCGCCCACGCCTCTCTCTCTCTCTCTCTCTCACACACACACACACACAGTTCGATCGCGCCCGCACCTCTCTCTCTCGTGCGCGCGACACGTATGCACACACTCCAGCATTGCAATCTTGACATCGCAGCCTGTTAATTATGCTGCGTTCACACCAAACGCGAATAGAGCAATATTTATCGCTATTTAGAGTTTTATTTATTTATTTTTATACCGTGTATTCTCAGTGCAAATTCGTGCACCGAACCGTGACGCCCGTACCGTTTCGGTTCAATACGAATACATGTACCGTTCCACCCCTAATGTGGCCTCTGCAAAAGTGCGCATCGAGGGCACATATCAACCACAAAGTATGCGTGAGCAACCTTCTGAAACCTAAAATAAAAAATGAGACACCCTATGGTCTCATGGATTTAACGGACACATGAAATAAGTACACATGACTGAAAATTCATATAAAGTGTGCCATTTGGGACAGTGCCTATGATCGTGAACCACAATAGCCACTTATATGGATTTTGCCCGGCCATCATTTCCCATGTTTGATTTCTGTATTTGACCGATTGTTTACCATTGCTGACTACTTTCTGCCTGCCCCGATCTGGATTGTTT